TTGAACATCAGGATGAGGTCTCCTCGTATACGCCGATAAGTTAAATCAAACAAATCGAGTTTACGTAGCCTTTCACTGTAGGGAACGTTCCGGAGGCCAATGACCAGCTTGGTCGCGCGGTGGTAGATACGCTCTAGCAGTTGTGTATCCCTTTGCAGCCATGGAGACCAGGCTTGGATCGCGTATTCCATTGTCGGCCGAATATACGTGTTCATGATAATATGGAGAATTTCAGGCGTAAAACGATAAAATATTCTCCTAAGCATCCCGAGCAGTGCCGAGGTCTTGCGATATACTGATAGACAGTGTTTACTCGGCTTCAGGTTGCTAGAAATCCAGACGCCGAGGTCTTTTTCCTCAGCCACCCATTCCAGTTCATTGGATCCCAGTTTGTATGGGAAGGGGTAGCTCTTCCCCAGATTTATGAGTTTGCATTTCTGGAAATTCAGCGGCAGCCGGTTTTGGATGGACCATTCGTCGATTCTTTGCAGATCTTGCTGTAGCGCATCACAATCAGCCTTTCCATGAATTTCAGACCAGATTTTTATGTCATCAGCAAAAAGTACGGTTTTGCACTGCAGAAGTTTCGGCAGGTCATTCATGTATACCAGGAACAAAATTGGACCAAAAGCCGAACCCTGAGGGACACCACTTGTGGCGGCAATTTTATCGAAAAACGCTCCATCGACACGAACTTGGACCGAACGGTCACTCAAATAGTCTTTCAGCCAGCTCAACAGATTTCCCGTCACGCCATACATTTCAAGTTTCCGAAGAAGGATACTGTGATCGACTCGATCAAAGGCTTTGGATATATCCAAGTAACAGGCATGTACAGTAACTCCCGCATCCACTGCTCGTGTCCAGTCATCGAGTGTCACCAGAAGATTGGATAAACAAGAACGATTCTGTCGAAATCCGTGTTGTTTATCGCTCAACAAGGAGTGAATTTCAAGGTGCGATTTCAGGGCTTCTGCTATAATTCGTTCAATTAATTTTGATATTACTGGGCGAAGAGTGACAGGTCTGTAGTTAGATGCACACGTTCTGATACCTCCTTTGAATATGGGGGCTATTATCCCGCATTTCCAATCCTCTGGTACCAACCCTTCTTCCAGAGAACTAGCGAAAAGTTTAGCCAAAGGATAGCTAAGTGGTTCAGCGCAGTGGCGCAGAAGCAGAAGCAGTGTAACGCCATCCCCACCAGGTGAAGTGTGTACCTGTAAGCCGCGAAGGTGTTTGACAATGTTAGCCCGATCAATATGCACGTCCGATAAAGTTTCGTCCGTTAGTACCTCCACAGTTTGTATAGGAGCGCGGGTATCTTCAGGAGAAAACACGGAAGCATAAAATGTGGAAAAGGAATTAGCTGTTTCAAATGCCTTTGTAGTCATTCCCGATTCTGTCTTTATGGCAGATATACCTGGTTTAACTTTAGCCTGCGCATTCACGAATTGATACAATAGTTTGGGGTTTTTCTCCATCCTAGTCATCAATTTGAATTGCTGTTGTAGTTTGTCTTCCTTGATTAGTGACGTGACTTTATTCCGCAACTTTCGGTACGACTCCCAGTGTTCGTCGGTCCGGTTCGTTTTATATTGAAACCAAGCGATGTTACGTTCTGTAATCCATTTTCTTGTTCGACTCCTCACTGTGAACATCTGTACGCAGGTGGCTCGAGGCACCTCTGTCGAATTGTCTGCAATCAAGGTCTGAAGCTGGGCTATGAATGATTTCCATCGCCTATTAGTATTTTCGTGTTCGTCATCCAGCATATTTAGGTCCTGGAAGGCTGAGATTATCTCCCGAAAATTGGTCTTCAGAACATATTTATGTGGGTCGCTTAAACGTACGGAGGAGCAAGTGAAATCGAACAAGAGCACGAGATGGTCGCTCTTTCCCAGTGGTGGTCTATATATGATTTGTTCAACCATAAATGGCTCACTAGTTAGTATAAGGTCAAAGACTGGTGGATAGTCTTCTGTTCAGTAGATCGGCCGGTATATATCCCTTAAACGGGACGCTGATGTAAACTGGTTTGCTTCCGGCCGTGACAGTGATGGTGTGTGCTTCCAACCTGTTCAAATGCTTCGTAATAAATTTTTCGGGGAATCCACTGTCTCTCAGGAAGTTGGTGAGAGTTCGGAATCCTTGCTCCAGTGCATCATCAGAGAATATCTTCTTCGCTCTGTTAGTTAGGCTGTGGATCAGGTTCCGTTTCTGCTTTAGTGACACGAAGCTGCTAAAGTTATTGTACTGACCTGACCAAGTACGTTTTCGGTTCACCGATCATTTCGGTGTACCATCGCGACGTCGTTAAAAACCGACATCTCGGAAGTGGAAAAAGTTGTCGGTTTCTCCTTCCGAAGTGAATTGAATGGCAGTGTGGGTCTTATTGAACGGTTTTTAGAGTGATTCCAATTCGTCTCTATTGTTAACGACGGCGAGGACGTCGTTTACATATCAGCAGTAAAGCTGCATATTCTCTATGTTAGCCTTTAATGGACCATTTTCAAGTTTACTCATGAAAATGTCGGCTAGCGTTGGGCCCAGTGGTGGGCCTATGGGAACGCTGTCAATTTGACGGCCCAGCATGCCATTGGACAGTAGTTCCGCATTCAGTGTGCATCTCAGGAGGAGTTCACGCAACTCGTTGAATGGAATAGGTTGCTGAAATCGTTTGCTTCTATGAAGTTGTTTCAGTTAGGGGGACGTTAGTGAAAAGTGAAGCCGCGTCCAATGAACACATGAACGAATCCCTCAGGTCTGGGTTCTTTGATAGCCAACTGAACAGTTTGTTTGCAGTTTTAGGTAAGGGTATGAGTGGGCGAGAGCATCGTCAAAAGTATAAAGTGAATAGTTGCATGTGTGGTATCAAGCTGGATATGGCTGCCTCACACCATCATTGCACTGACGTACTTCGGTCACTGTACAACCCTTGACGGACGTTATGTTTTGGGTCTTGGGCTGGGATGTGCTGTGGGCAGCGGGATATTTTAGGAAGGGGTTGGTCCAGGAAATCTGCTGATGTAGAAAAAAGCCATTACAAGTTCGCGGATATTTTCTAGTCCGTATGGGGATTCCTCCAGGTGTAAAGTACAGATAAGATGGAGTGAATGTCAGCCAAGCATGGCGTCCGAATCAGGCGTAACCGAATGCAAAGCTGAGAAGAGATATTGGGATGAGGTCAGTAAGACCTGATGAGTTTAATGAGAGATTAGACAGGAGTGAGTCCAGAAATGGAGAAAAACTGAACGTCTACCACAAATAGGTTGGTGACGGCAAGTGAAGAAATAAAACAGGTAATCCAAGGTAATTCAAGGTAATTCAAGGTTTAATGGTCTAAAAAGCAGTCAACTTTACAACGACGATAGGTTGAACGTATATATACAAAGGGACGCAAAAATATGCGTAATGTTTGCTGAGTATCACATGGAGTTAAACAGTGGCTATTATCCCGCATGCAATCCAATTAGCAGCTTCGTGGCTCGATGATATATTCGCTGTAGAAGAAGCCATGGTGACCAAGCTTGTATAGCGTACTCCATGGCTGGTCGGATGTAAGTATCGATTACTCAGGGCAGCGCCAGTCGAGTAAAACGACCAAAATCCGTTTTAGGAGCGACAGGACATGAGAGGTCTTCTTGCTGACGGCTGTGCATTGCAAGGAGTTTTTTAAAAAGCTTTTGGTCCACACGCCTAGATATTTTTCTTCACTAGTCCAAGAAAGTGGTTGTGGACCCAACGTATAGTTGTATGCAAAGGGCTTCCCCATACGGAGCATTTTACATTTTTGGAGGTTAAACGGTAGTCCGTTTTTCAGTGACCAATCATAAAGTGTATCGAGATCTTTTTGTAATCGGTGACCGTCTTCAATGGTGCGCATGCTTGACCATATCTACAGATGAGCGTTTCTTTCTCTCTTTCATCCCAGATCGCCTTACTACCACCAACTTGATACCCCCTGTTCAACACAGATTTCTCCCAAACCGTTCTTGCGTGCCAAACATGCTCGCATTTATGGGCAGCTTAACCCAAGCCAAGGGCGATATATTTATTTTTTATTTATTCATTTATTCTCCTAAGCATTTGTTCGTGTCCCACGCGCCCTTCTACTTCACAAACTCGAGTCTCACAGAATTCGATGAAAAATTCTACACTGGATTAAGACATTAAAACATTGAGTGAAGATAGACTCAACCTACTCTTCTCCGGCTCCGGTTTCCATTGGAGTTCCCTGCTGTTTCTGGTATACGTCAATGGACGTCCAGGTATTCTTGCAAGTCCATGTCTTCTTTTTGCGGACGCCTTGAAATCCTAGAGTTCTGCTTCCAGTGCCCTCCAACTGGATGTAGACGGTGCACAGTAGTGGTCATTCGACTGGCACCTTCCTCTGAATGATGAAATGTGCGTACATATATTGTTTGGAGAAGACTGAGCGAGCGCCTTCGTCATGCATGGTGAGAATGGACCAGAAGACATCGCAAGTATAGATGCCAAAAAAGACTCGGATATCTGGTTCGGTAGTTCACTTAGCTGTTTACAAGGCGCCGGCTAACCAACCCAGATCAGTACAGCAACGCACAATTGCAGTGACTGAAACCGTCGCCATACGACATCGCCACCCAATCCTTTGTCGGCAAAAATGCTTTGTTCTGATCAAACATTAGCAGAAAATGATCAGCTTGCCTATCTAGGGTGCAAATCGATCACAGGTGTGGCGTGCAAGCTAGGCAGCACCAGGGGATAGTGATTCTCCAGTTAGGCTTTCACGACAATTTCCGCGGATCGAAAGCAGACAGAAAGCTCATGAGCCGAAGCCCAGCAAGCAAGGCTGCAAATCACTAATACTTACATATAAATCAATCAAACTGGCAGATACCGTATACTTAACACCGTCACGAAGGGATTGGACCTTACCGTGGTGCGGCGGTTTGTGTACCTTGGAGACCCATTGAGCTATACTACGGCGGGGCTCACAGAGTATACCAGGTTGGTCAATGGTTACAGATCCGACAAACACATTCTCCTGGCCCTCCAGGTTGGGGGTTGGAACATGTGGCGAGGCGACCCGTAGACATGGTAATGAATTTGCATTTCCCACCAAACACCGCTGCCTTGCGGTTAGGCTTTTGAGCCAAAGGCTCTGGTTGAGGACCCTAATCGTCCTCCTGTCTATGTGTGGGCGCCCTGGCATTACCCCAGTCATCGTTCAACCATGACCTACACAACTAGCAATACTCTCATGCCACATCGCCGTCGCGTGGTGCCATCAGCCGGGTTGCCTAACTTGCTGCATACAGCAGGGCGGGTAAGCGAAAACATGCCGCTGCTGACGCCTTCCTTCTTACACTTTCAGGTTTTCCGTCTTCCACCCACCCCGCCCAAATTCGAATACTTTATCCGCAGGTCCCAGCTCTAGGACTGACCGTTTTGCTCGCCCTGCACCACACCCAGCTGCAGCTTCTGCACGTCCGAGATCAGTTACAACCCTAAACACTTCGAAGTCTGTTCTCAAACCCGGAAAGCCTGTCTACTTAGTCAATTTCAGTGTTCGCACACGGAAGCGAGTAGGTCAACAGGTGGCTCTTGTGCGTACGCTGGATTCCCTCTGTATTGATGTATGTTGTCTGTCAGAAACAAGGACGCAGTACGCAAGTGCTGTAATCGAACTGACTGCCCCATCGCTCCCTGCCAGGTTCCGACTGCGCAACTCTGGTGATGTAGAGGCCGCTGCAGCTGGATATGCTGGGGTGTGTATTTTATTGAGCGAACGAGCGGAGGCGTCTCTGCTTGATTGGATACCCGTTGACAGTCGCCTCTGTGCAGTTCGTTTGGCAACATCGGTCATAGAATCTAGAGGAAGTAAGGTTCATCGCACCTTGTTTATTGTTTCTGCTTAC